GACCCCCCCCCCCCCGACTGGATTGCTTCCTACTGAATGGGAAAGGCCAAGGGAGAGTTAGGAAAGTCAGCCCATGGGAACTGGGTAGGCATGGGCCTTGCTCCTCAACTAAATGTTCTGCTTTGAAATGTCTCAGTCGAACTTCATCTCACCCCTTTGCTGGCCATTCTTTTTCCGGGATGAGCTGTATGTTTTCCATGGCTGTGAAGCTTTGTCACAGCACGTCCCCAGAGCAGGATGCAAGCCCGTCTTCCGCAGCAAACACACCTCTGCTTTTCTTGTCCCCGTTGAAATGCCCCATGCGAAACCAGACTTGATACTCCTTGTTCCTTACTCTTTTCTAGAGGATTCATGTTTTTTGGGCCTTAGTCTGGTCAGGAGTTGCTTCCTCAGGGAGGTTTCTTTTTCCAGGTGCTTTCTCCATTTGTGCACAGAGCTCAGATTTTAATGCCTCCTTCTATTACACCGTGATCGCTTTGACTTCGAAACAGGCCAGGGTTTCAGGCTATGGGCATGGGGCCATCAATTTAAACAAGGACAGGGTTTCTCTGCTCTCACAACGTGCCGCCCTGGAATGTGGAGTTACTGCGTGTACTCCAACATATGGAAAACCCATCCCTCTACTGAAAAAAAAGGGCGCTCCAAGTTTTTCATCCCTGCTACCAATTTCTCGCTATTTTTCTTATTCTCAGCTGGACTCTCTCCCTGCTGGCAAAGGGGAAATCTGGGATAGTTTTCCTGCTGGGTGAATTTTCTGTGTGGAAATCTTCCTTGTTCATTCTCTATCACAAGGATTGCCTTTGATACAGGTGTGCCTGGGTGGGCCATGCACCAGATGCTTGGATATTTAAAATTCTTTCTGAGTGCTGTAATCTGTAATCTCAGGAACCAGCAGCGTAGAGCCAGGAGTTGTTGGGTTTGTTCTTTTGAGGAGGATTAGTTCCCATCAGATGCCCTGAATTATTTCACCTTTTGTCTTTCATTCTTTTTCCTATCAAATAATTCATCCATTTATCTTCTTTATATGGTCGCTGATGACTCGGGAAATGGTTCAGATGTAAAATGAGCCCCTCTCCTTCTCATCTAAATGGTATAATTTTGGCTCCACCAGCCACCCTGTCAGGTCTCCTTGCCCATCCCGGTGTCTGCAGGCTTTGTCGTATCACCTCTTGCTCTCGCTTGTTTCCCAGACGCCCAAGTACATTTATCCTGTTTCAAAGCTATCTCCTCCTGTTACATTTTGCGCTCTAAAGGTACTTGCTAGGTTATTTGAGGTAAGCAACAGCTCTCCACACCTCACTGCCCAACCTAATGAGTTGGGGAAGTTTTAAAGCACATCTGCTTAAAGTGCTTGAGTGCTTAACTCATTCACACCTGTCTCTGTGCCCAGACATTCTTTCAACGCTCTGTTAATTCCGTTCCTCCCATCTCCTCCTCCCCATAGCCCGGGCACAGGTTCTTTGATGGACAGGGAGGTGTGGAGCAAAGAGCAGTGGCACAGTTTCATGAACCTTTTGTCCTGTGGTGGAGCTGGCAGGAGGAACCTTCTCCTTTATAACAACACTGATATGAGTGACAAATAACTGGGCTCCCCAGTCTGGTTGTCACCCAAACTTGCACTGTCACTGCAGGAAAAACATCAAGGGCTATGCGGGATCTATGGCAGGGAGAGAAACAGTGCCCAGGTCCCAGGGAGAAGGCTGTATCTCACCTTCACCACCCGAGTCCTGCTCCCTCCAATCCTTGCTGTGGTCTGCGAGAAAATGCACAGTATGATTTTTTAATCTTGTCCCCAGAATTGCTCAAAACTCCGCACACTCCTGGCCTGCCCTGCCCAGGATAACCAGCCTCGATGCAACTGCCATTGCTCTCTTAATGGCTTGGTCATGCTCTCCTCATCTCCAACCAAAACGCTCTTTAAACCTAAAACAAAAATGATTAGGCAGGCTTAGGAAACAGCAAAAGCTTCAAAGGATTAAATGCTAACGCTTCCTGCTACCCTTAGAGAGATCAAACATTCTGCGCTGTTAGCCCTGCAGCAGCAGAAAATGGTACTAAATCTTCCCCAGCAATCAGGGGATTTCAGTGGCAGTGCAGGATTGCAATGTAAGGAGGAGCAGGAGACTGATTTATGAGGAAAGATTAAAATGACTAAATATACATCTCTCGGCCAAGCCACTGCCGAGGAGCAATGTGACAACCATGCAGAAGAACCTGAAGGGCACAAAGAACACCGGGAGGGTGGAGAAGTTTGGGGTGTTGTAAAGGATCGTAGGACTCACTCAAAACGTGGGGCGATGGTAGCAGTGACTCAGAATTTGGAGATGATGATGTGGTGGCGGGAGGTTGAGGCTCAGCGGTAGCTGCAGACGAGCCCCGTTGCCTCATGGCTGCAAAGTCATTCCCATCCCTGCAGTCCTGGGGTTTAAACCCCAGTGGAATCATTGCAGGTGAAACTGGTAATATCTGGGGTTTGGTTTTTTTTTTAATAAAATAAAAAATTCCTTTTTGGTGAGCTGAAACCGAGTAGAGGAGCAGGACAGAGCTCTTTTTGGGAGACCAAAGACCACTCTGGAAATTCATAGGGGGAGGACGGGCCACTCGCCCATCGATAATTAAAAGCAAAACCCACGGCAAACAATGAGACTGCTGAAGAGGAGGGTGATTAATCTCCTCCAAGAATCCCTGCAGCGGATAAATTTAAGGCCAAAAAGTGGGTTTTTTTTGTCCCTCCGGACTGCGGGGCGGTCTCCCCGGGGCCCGGCCGGGGTCTGGAGGCCGCTCCCCCCCGCGCCGGGCCCCGCCGGGCGGACTCGGGCCCCGGCCCGGCCCCGGCCCCT